TATAAGCCCTAAGTATGTAACCACCTGCAGGAATCAGTGGATTCCTTGAAAACGTAATCATCATTAATTATAAAGAATAAATTTACAATTTATATGGTCTAGTGATTTGAGGAAAGTCACTGTCTTGCCATGTGACTTCATGTACTTCCCAAGGCATGGACAGACATAATAACGTCTATATTGGTGGAATCAGCATTACACTTGTGTAAGAAATGAATGCACAGGTAATACAAACTAGGGGAGACTTCCCCCAATCCAAAAGATAATTACTCCCAAAAAACTGAGGATAAAATACTATGATGCAAGTTACACTTTCCTTGGTCTGTTGTCCTTTTGGGACAGTTGTTTGCTAAAGGCAAATGGGCCATTACTTGTTCCCTTACTGCTTTGCAATGAAGTGCTACAATAACCATCTACCGTGTTATCTGTCCCAAGAAAGTTGCACGTGTCCTTTCTTGACTTCACTCTAATTTACATTGGTATAGAAACTGACTTCAGTTAGGTTATATGTACATATCCTGTCTCCTCTTAATAGTTTTTCCTGCTCAAATGTATTGTGATGCTTAGTTATTAGTTAGAGCTGTCAACTTCCATACTATACTGTCTTGCCAAAAAGTTCTGTTTTCCTTTCCACTCTCTTAATATGTAACTGAATAGTGACTATCATAATCACACCAATAAGCTCATTGTTGGTCCATAAAGGATAAATGGGGGAGTTTGTGGAGGATAAGTGAGGTAATTCTTTGAGGCACCAAGCCTTAACTGGCTACTTTTGTATAGGGAAATATCAAGCGTGTGTTTGTGTCATCACTGTCCTACTGTAAGTAAGGTAGAATGCAGCTGTTTAATCTTAGTGTCCATTTATACCAAGGATGACCCAGACCTGCTGTCTGGATCTGGCAAATGGAGCCATGTCATCTGGCCTGCGGGTCTCACCCTGGTTCTGGAAATGTGGTGGTACGGTGAGTGGTGGATGCATTAATTGTTGCAGCTCCTGGAATGTGGCAATTAATGCTGCTGCTGCCACTCACTGCACTCAACGTTTTGGATCTGTGAGGAATCCCACAGGCCAGATCAGGAGCACAGAATGATGTCATCGGGCCCATGGGACAGGAAATTTGGGGCAGGAGGATTAGCAGCTATTGTGTGTCTAGGAACCACAGCAATTAATGCTGCCATACCAGATTCCAGATCCCATGGATCAGGTGGTGCAGCCCCGGATCTGGCCTGTAGACTGGCCCTGTTCTTTAGATCTGGCCCAGGGACTGACTTTGCACCAGTAGCTGGGCACCACTAATCTATACCAGATAAAAAGATTGTCAAGGGCTAATTTTCCAAATAACCTGAAGGTATGATAGCTACTTGCACCTACTTTGTTAGAAGTTTTTATATTACTTCTATGTGCTTGCATATTCTACCCTTGTGAAGTAATATTTCTGTAAAATGAAGGGAGAAAATTATATTGGAAGAATAACATCTTGGCTTTCAAAAGATAAAACATGGAAAGGAATATGGAAAATAAGTTCACATTTGTACACCTCATTTGTTGTGATGCGTGCATATTCAAATCATCATTTGCATATCAGAGTGCATAGCCATGTATTTAATTGGTTTGGGGCACCAATTAGGTGGCCACAATTTTACAAATAGAGTAGAACATGAATTAACCAAGACCTCGGAAGGAGTCCATGTCAGAGCTTGGTTAAGAGAATACAGTAATCTCTCATCATAACTCTCATGTTCATAGTCTTGTCTTCTAATCAGCCCTCTATGTCATGCTTTTTGGCTGCTCCCCCTTGTGGCCAGAGATCACAATGACTTAAACATTGCTGAACTGGTGGGAAATTTTTGATAAACTATTTTTTGCCAGAAAAGAAAAGAAGGAAAAACAATTTACTGGAGCCAAACTCTCTTGACTTGAAAAGAAATAAGTTTTGCAATTGTCCAGCTGTCCTTTTTTGACATTTTTGCTTTACAGGTTGAAATGACTTTTCCTTTTCAGATTGGAGTAAATTTAGACTAATGAAAGGTAAAAAAAAAAAAAGAGAAAATTGGAACTGAAAAGAATCATAAAGAATATTTTGACCTCCCACATCCCCTCCCCCACCTCTGATGCAGACAGGTGGCTGCATTTGCATCCACAATGGCAGTATCACCCTTGTAGCAAAAACTATTTTGGAATCCATTCCTTCCCACATTAACACCCCAGCCCTCCAAATTTAGGGAGTTTTAGACTTTGGTTTTGTACTTCCAAGTTTAATTATTTTGAGGGGTCACAAACATTATATTCTTTTGACCCTAGCTAAATTCCTGTCCCTGGGGCGTGGGGCTGGACTCGATGATCTTCTGAGGTCCCTTCCAGCCCTAATGTCTATGAAATCTATATGAGGTTTTGGAACACTTACCAGTTCTTATTCTCAGGAAATGCAAATCAGCTTAACTGGATTGATGATACTGCTTGGGGTCAGATCAGATTTTAATGCCACTAATTTACATTGGCTTAAGGTCTCAAAGGTATCATCTACAATATGAATTGCTTGAAAATGAAAGGGGCAATTTCAGTCTGACATATATTCTATAGTAGTCCAAAGTCAAATTATGTTGAATGAACATTTCAAGCTGCAAAAAAGCTCTCATATTTGTAAAACATTTTGAGAGTCATGGAGGGAACATATTACCAAAAGGCAAACTTATTAGTAAATTATATTAACAGGAAAATCAAATTATAATTTTTTTCTGAAGGAATTGTTGTCTTAAAGGCTTTTTGATGTTGTTTATCTTTTTAAAGTTATTTTGAAAGAACATTCCTGTGCAAAAAATATTCTTACTTTTTAGTATGGGAATGAACTTGCTAATTTAAAACATGGATTCCATGTTTTTTGTAAAGAAAGTATGTTTTACCCTTTACTTTTAACCTTTTTCTTCAAAGTAAAGTCAAATGTCACTTAGGAAAGCTTTAGATACATAAAAACTTCTTTCAAATAAAAAAATGATTATGTGATGTGATTAAATTGTCTATTTACCATACCCTATTTTAGGGACTGATGTAATTTTATGTAGGAGAACCATTGACCTTAATGAGTAAAGCTCCAGTGCGTTCTGAAACAGCCAACATTTTGGTCTATTAATCCAGGTTAGATTGATTCATTATTTTAGGCCTGTACTTTGTACTCTTATGATGATCTTACTTCATTTTAATACTACATTATCTTGAGCATCAGCTGCAGTTATGAAATGAGATTAGCTGACTCCAAAATGAGAGTGGATTAAAAAATGAAATGGTATTCCTTAATAATAAATTGTGCCTAGTTCTGTACTTTCATATGAGGCAACTTAGTTGTAAAAGTGCAAATATACTAAAAATGATGATTAGGTCTGTCATCCTTTAATGGATATTTTCTTTGTATATCTCTAAGTGTGTGTATGTGCATGTGCACACTGGTGGAAGGATATGGCTGTATGTGGCTTTAGTGTCTGTTAAAGTACTTAGAGTGACAGGTCTGCAGAATGAAATGTTCTATAGAGCTACATACATTATAGTACTGGTTGCAGCAAAGTGAGTTTTCCTGATCCTTATCTGTTTGGATTACCTCTAGAATTGGAAGGGTAATTAATTCTTCATGCTCATTCATCCCCTTGTATAACTGTATCACGGTGGGGGGGTTTCTAATGTCGATGCCTGCCCAGTATGAACCGGACTGAGGCCACTAACTCTGAGGGATAAGAAGTGGTATTAAATATGTATAAATATTACATATTTCATGGTGTCAGTCTGCAGGTTCTGTGTTCTGTTACAGAACTTTTCACTTCCTTTCTCATCATTCCAGTCTTTAGCTGTAATAGACAGGCCTAAAATAATAGTGTTATAGAGCATCCAGTACATTTTAGACTCGTGATATATGTAACTGGGTTAGCAGGACAGCTAATGGTAGACAAAGGACAGAATGGTTGATTCTTGCTCCTGTTGAAGTTAATGCAGTTTTGGTATTTCAATAACTTTATAGTAGCTTTTTAAAAATGTTTTAGAATAATTGATTCACCGTAAGTTCGGGCACTTCGAGTGTAATTCTACCACCCTAGTATACAATAGAGTGTGGAAAAAATGCCCAGAGCTTCTTATTACACCCCTTCCACTCAGGCAGTATAAAAAACTCTTCTGATAGTACTCACAGCTAGGGACCTACCTAAGTCACGGAGGCTGCCTCCGTATATCATGGTCCCAGTGCGGTGTTTGGCACCATGTTCACAGCAGAATGATGCAGCCCCATCCCCCTACCCCTCCCACCTCTAGCCAAGGGGACCTAGAAGTCCTGCCCCTCCCTGGAGATTGACAGTCTCCAGCTTTGGAGGTGGGGGTGGGTACCTCAGCCAATCAGAGGCATGGGGAGTCTGCAGCTCTAATCTGCAAAAATCTCGTTGTACTGCCTCTCTGTTTCTCCCCCCTCCCCATACTTCAGGATGCCAGGGCTTCCCACCTCTGTTTGCAGCTCTCTTTTCACATCCCCCTCTCCATTTTCCTGCTTTTTTGCAGTCCCCGTGCTTTTTCGTGGGAACCAGGCTTTTTCACAGAGGACTTGCCAAATTTGCAGTTTCCATAAAAATCATGTAATTGTGGATTTTGTAGGTCCCTACTTATGACAACTAGAAAGTAGAACTAAGTAATATGTCATCTGGTATACCGTATCAGTCTTGTGGGGCGCTTCCAGGCCTATAAATCCCCAGTATCAAGTATTTGTTAGAAGACGGGGTCATGAGCTTTGAACCTTGCCAGAGATGGAGCATAGTATCTCCTATTCTCTCTGCGTTTTCCTTGTTTTTTAGAATACTGCCTTAGTTAAGTGGACTTTCATAACTGACTGCATAACTCATCCCTCAAAAAATTTAGGCAAAATGTATTTCTTTTCAAGGACATGAAATGTTAAAGGTAGAACGAAAAAAGCTTTTTCCCCCCTTAAACTTGATTATGCTTGTTAATGATGTTTTTCTTTCTTTGTTATTAGAAAGCAGATGACGAGGTGGAAATAATACTGTTGGGTAATAAGTGTGATAAGGAGACAGAACGTGTAATCCCAAAACAAAAAGGGGAAAAGGTATGCATTGATCACTAGTGCTTTTGTCTAACGCTTTTAAGTTTTTAGCATTTGGCTATGAACTGTGACATTAAAAACTGTAATATGTTCCTGAATTCTAAATATTCTGTTATGAATTGCTTCAGAAGAATAGTTTTTTAATATGTGACCAGAATAGAGCAAGTAAGTTTAGTAGTTGCTCTTTAGAACACTGATTTTTGTATTACATTTTAAAACATACTTACTGTAGAGTGTCTAGCATGACACTTGAAAATTCATTATTTTCAGAGCCAGACTTTTAAAAATATTTAGAGTCTTCATGTGCACTGTATTACTTTTCAAGAGAGAGACTGAAATATGTTCCACAATTTTCTGATACCTGATGTACCACTAGTCTTCTATATCAGTATCTTTCAGCCTTCTTACATTGTTGTTTTCAGAAAATGACTTTTCATTGTCTTCCACTCAAGACCACAAGCAATACAAAGTCTGGAGGTGGGCTTAGAGTATATAATATTCTTCTAAAATATCTTTAAAAAATATCCTTGGTAATATGGATTGACTTGCACTGGGCATGCTAACTTTTGTTTTTTATTCTTCTGTTTCTGAGATTTTTTATTGGTAGGCATTGTACAATCCCAGTGAATTAGTTATTATTGAAAACTAAACCATGTTTTGGGGTACTGTGAATCATTTAAAAATCCTAAAACTAAAATGTCTCTTTTAATTTCTCTTCCATTATGCAAAAAATGGGGTGTAAATAAGGGGGTTTTGTCATTACCTTTTTGTTTTTTAGGGTTAGATCGGCAGTGGCATGACTATATTCAGTTTGCGTCTTTCTTGGAACACACAGTGATTCCTTTTAGTTGCACCTATTAAAGGACTTTGTTTTGAGAGTAATTTCTGCCTGGGGTCCACAAGCAGCACTATGAAAAGCCTTAATATAAGATTTGATTACCTAGAGAACCTCCAGTTTCCCTACCTCCCAGTGCAGTATCTGTAACTGACAGGGCAGCAACTTCAACCCATGTTCTGAGTCCCCATGTTACAGCCCTTCTTCCCCCCTACCCATGATTTTTCTTAGGGTCCAGGCTGCAGACAATCTTCTCAAACACTTAAGTTAATTACTGCCTCTGAGGCTGCAGTAGCTGGCAGCAGAGAGAATCTTCTGCCTCTAGCATCAAGCCATCTGTGAGTTTTCATTGTCTTCTGCTTCAGGCTTCCCTGGTATTCTGATTTCACCAAAATCAGTATCACATGGCATTTCTCTGTATCCTACGTTGCAGGGCAGAGTGGCACCTTATAGACTAATCAGTTAATCTATGAGGTACCACAGTGCCCTGCCTTCTGCCTGACTTCAGACTAGCATGGCTAACTACCTCACTCTGTATCCTAGCTTGTTGTCACTTTGCTTTGCTTGGCTAGCAAAAGTGAAGAGGAAGAAGACTAGGTCTGAGTGAATAGGGTGAGATGTAGTTACATGCAGAAGTGTAACAAGCAGTTTTTATAGCCAAGGCAGCAGTGGTGGTGGTAGCTGCCAGTATTGTTCCACCTCTAAATTGGTGCCCAGACCTGGTGCCCTGCTTGCCTACCCCTACTTACATTACTGGGAAGAATGCAAGCAGAAGTCTGGCCTTGATGCAGGGGACACAAGGAGGGCAGTGCAGAGATTTGAAGAAGCAGAATGTTGGGGAAAGAAGGTTTTTTTGTACCTGCACTCAAGGTGGTCTGAGGTGTGTGAGAGTCAGGGAAGCCAGAAAAGAGACTGCTCAAGGGAAGAGATGTCCAAAGTAGGAAGCAGGGGTTAGCTGGGAAGGAGCAAACAGGGATGGCAAACAGGTAAGATTCATTGGCAGCTTCCTTTTATAGGGAAATGTGGGGAGGTAATAGGCAACATAGAGTTTGCAAACCTGGGTAGGAGGGAGGTCAGTGACAGAGGGAATCAAGGCAGCAGGAACTGACTGCAGTCTTGTTTTCTTGTGTTTCTTGTTTTGTTAGGGTGGTGGGAGAATGGAATCCCGTAGGGATGTGCTCAGATGGTGGTAGGAAAACAAGGCATTCAGATTGAAGTTTAGAATCTGTGTTCCTGCTCCTCCCATGGCCTGCAGGTAATGGACAAGTCTCTCTCTCTAGCAACTGGTTCAGGCCTGGTTGTGGGGCCATGCATCTGATCAATTCCAGAAAGTGAGGAAATGTTCTGTATGTCAAAACCCTATCAATTTTAATGAAAATCATGCAGAAGATAGGGCAAGGTGGCATATTAGGAACATTACACAAGTTCGATACATAAGTCTAACTTGAATCAGTCGAGCGTACCTTGCACAAGGTCCATCTTAGGCTGCTTATGCATTTTTAGACTGTTGTGTGTGTGCTGAACTTCTGTACAGTTACAGATTTAGGTTGATCTGCGTTCACATCGACCGGTCTAAATTTAATGTTTGTATGTGCCTTTAGGGTACCTGTACATGTGCAGAGCAGGCATTTTCAAAGGCACTGTAACTTTTGCACTTTACTTAAAGCATTTTAGATGCAGGGCCTTAAAACTTAATAGATGTTCCACAGCTTGGTGCAAGTTTTGTGTCTTGCTGTAGTTCTGTAGAGTAGGAGCTAGGGCAGGAGCGGGCAAAATATGGCCCGCAGGGTAGATCTGGTCTGCCAGGCCATTCTATCCAGCCCGTGGAGCCCCTAAACAATTTGGTAAATTAATATTTATTTGCCCTGGTTCCCTGTCAAAGCTAGCTGGAGATGGGCAGTAGGACCCAGAGGGAGCCCTCAGCAGGCTTGCAGGCATGAGCAGCCCACCCCCACTCACCCCCAGCCAGTTCCTTGCTTTCCTGCCCCCGCCCTGCTCCAGCACCACATGGCTGTGGCTCCCGGCTGCATCCCCGGACCACGGAGCATGGGACCACACTGGTAGGGGTGTGTGTGTTGGCAGGACAGGGGCAGCGTGTGTGTGTGTGTTCTTAGGGTGAATCCCACACACATACCCCTCCATATACATGCACCTACACCTGCCCTCGCACTGCCATACACAAACCCCAGCCACCCTCTGCCCATACCCATCTACACCCACATACCCACAGCCCCCACAAACCTATACCCACCCTCACAATATACAAGAATAAGACTTAATTTTAAGCTACTGTGCAGTCACCTCTGCATACACTACACAAACACATGTAAATCAGGACAGAAATATTTTTTAAATCAAATTAATGAATGTTGTAGATGACCACTTTTTAGAGTATAATTTGGTATTTTTCTGGTTCTGAGATGGCAAAACCCCTTGCTGAAAGGAGTACTTCCTGGGACAAGGGGAGGGACTTCTGGTGGCAAAGGTCAGGAGTTAGGGGATGGGACTTCTGGTCACAAGATAGTGACCAGGGGGTGGGGCTACCCATGTGGCCCTTGACAGCTTACCAAAACTTGGTAAGCAGCCCTCCACCCAAAATAATTGCTCGCCCCTGAGCTAGGGGGTGCCAGATGTTGGACAATGCAGCTTGAGGCCACGGGGAAACCCCAGTTAAATAAATGTGCAATAAGGTGAACTAGGTAGGTTGAGATGCAGTACTACAGTTCACCTTACATTTAAAACACATACAACAAGGTTTAATTAAGGCAACTTCTACCATTTTTAAAATGTTTTAAAGTCACCCATGTGTATTAAGTGATGGCTTTAGAACACTTTAAATGGTGAAAATCATCATAGAATCATAGAAAGAAGGACCAGAAGGGACCTGTAAGATCCTCAAGTTTGGTCCCCTGCCAGGGGCAGGAGGTAATTGGGCTCAAACGAGCTCAGTGATGTATTTGTCCAGCCTCCTCTTAAAGACTGCCAGAGATGGCAACTGCACCACCTCTGCTGGAAGTGTGTTCCAGATTCTAGTTACCCGTACAGAAAAGAAGCTTTTCCTTATGTCTAGCTGAAACTTTTCCTCAACTAGCTTGTGTCCATTGGTTTGCGTCTTCCCAAGGGGGGCTTTTCTGAAAAGTTGTTCTCCTAGATCCTGGTGTTCTCCCTTGACATATTTGTAGGCTGTTATCAAGTCACCTCTCAGCCTTCTTTTGCTCAGGCTGAACAAACCCATATCCCGAAGTCACTCCTCATAGGGCCTATCCCCCAGGCCTTTGATCATGTGGGAGGCCCTTCTCTGCACCCGTTTGAGCTTGTCCACATCCTTCTTGAAGTGTGGTGCTTAAAACTGAACACAGTACTCCAGCTGTGGCCTCACCAACACCGAATAGAGGGGAGGAGCACCTCTCTGGATCTGCTGGCAGTGCACCTGCTGATGCATGCCAGAGTTCTATTTGCTCTGTTGGTGACTTTGTCACACTGGTGGCTCATATTCGTCCTCTGTTCAGTTGACACCTCCAAGTCCCTTTCAGAGGCAGTGACAGCCAGTGGACCACTGCCCATTGTATAGATATGGTGAGGGTTCTTCCTACCCCGATGAAGGACCCGGCATTTGTTCCTGTTGAACCTCATGTGGTTTTGTTCAGCCCATAGGACCAGCCTGTCAAGGTCCTCTTGAATCCTTGACCTGTCCTCTGATGTACCCGCTTGTCCCCACAGCTTGGTATCATCCACAAACTTAATCATTGCACTTTTCACTCCCTTATCCATGTCATTTATAAAGATGCTAAAGAGCACAGGCCCAAGCACTGACACCTAGGGTACACCACTGGAGATTACCTTCCAGGATGAGGCCACCCCATCAATTACAGCTCATTGGGATTGGCCACTGAGCCAGTTCCCAATCCACCTCACTGTAGCCTGGTCTAGGCCAGTACTCTCCAACTTATCTGACAGGATATAATTGGAATCAAAGGGACAGGGGCCAAGAGACCTGATTGGCTCAACAGAGACATTAGGGAACTTCTCTGCCTTTTCACGGGGGTCAACTGTGGGCTTCCCCTCTGTGTTCAGTAGGGGTGCCACCGCAGAGCTTGATTTTTTTTTTTCTTGCTCCCTATGTACCTATAGAAGGATTTTTTGTTATCTTTAATATCAGTCACCAGCT